GACCATCAAGCAGGACGTTCAGCAAAACCTACGGCTTAGGAGGACAGAATGTCATGGTTGTCAGATGGATTCAACAAAGGAGGAGGAAGCCAAAGTAGGAAGGAGCGGGCCAGCACAGGAGAATTACGAGAATTCTAAAGATGCTCATGGCTAGACATAGAGATGGATCCTTGAGCAGTTGCTGCTACCTTTAGCTTTCAGCTCTCATACATGCATTGGCAACTTTCAGATTGAACTTGACTTCCACTTATGAGATGGAGTTCTCCTTCCTCTCATCCCCTCTGCAGCTTTTCAAACATACACATACACACACACACCACAAATTTGCTTTAGAGCAGATTTTGGGCACACACAGGGAGTTGCGGGAGGGATGGGGAATTCATTCCACCATTCTTCTTTTTTAAAAAAAAATGATATTTATTGAAAAAATTTTAGAATTACAAAAGAGAACAAAGCAGAAAAAGAGAAAGAAAAAACAAAGAAAAAACAAACCACATCAAACAATACAAATTCAAAAAACAAAAATACACCACAAACACTCAAAAACAAATCCATCATTCTCAAATCCTCAACTGTCATTACCTTCTTTCTTTGACCTCCTCCTCCTCCCTTTTTTGTATCCTAGTTGTTAATTGTCGCAGCAAATCCTTTCCATATTTCATAATATTCTGTCATTACATTACCTTAATCTATTTTAATCTTATCTTACTATAAAGAACCTTAAAGCTTAAAACTTAAATCTTATTTTTACCAACTTCTCATAACCATAATATTCTTACATAATTCTTTAAACATTTTTGCTAAAGCCAAGTAATTTCGTTCCAACATTTTTCTAACATTCATCAATTTTATAAAACAATCCTAGTAGTAAAAATAAATAAATAAAAACAATCCAATCTTCATCCAGCGTCCCTTCCTCCTGGTCCCGGGTTTTGTCAGTCCTTATTATCCCATCGATCTAGCGCATTAACCTGGTAACCTTGTATCCGAGGCCCTTAAGTCCCTTCCATGTCCCTTCCGCGGCTCTTCTTCATATTTGTAGCTGTATTTTCCTTTGTCTCCTGCTCCTTTCACTCGTGGGAACTCCAGCTTAACAATGTTTTTGACCCTTCTCGACAAATCAGCCCCTTTTCCATAGTCCACACTAAACTCCATGTGGTATTTAAGAACATGTTTCAAAATCCCTCCAAAATTAAGAGCCCCCACAACCCCAAACATCTCACGGCCCATTGCCAGACTTGAAAAGTCCAAACATCCCTGCATAGGGGGGTCTATCCAACCCCCCATTTCCAAACGAAACCAAACTTTATCTTTCCAAATCTGGCTTTTTCCAAGTTCATTTGTCAAATCCAAAAGCTCATGTTCCTGCTGGGCCACAGCTCCCTCCATCTCTGGCGCCCAAGATTCAGCAACATCCTCTTCCCTCATCTGTTCTGTCAGGGCACACTCCTGATTTAATTCCTGGGTGGGCTCCATATAATTTCCCACTGCCTGTTCAAAATTTCTGATCGCATCAGTCATCAAGTCCGTCTTCTCATGTAGCTGTTCCAGTAGGGCATTTGTTTTACAGAAAGCACACAACAGAGCTTCTGACTACATTGTCCTGCAAGGTCAGAAGTCTATTCCCACGATTGTAATCTGTAACAGCTGCAAGCTCCCAGGAGGTGGTTACAGTTTCACAGTCTCCCTCTAGGGGAAAACTTCTATTTGTTCTTTCTTTTAAAGACAAGTCTAACAACAAAGTTTCCTTTTTCAGATATTTTGTCAATATTTGTTCCTTTAAAATGCGAAGGGGAACAATGGAATCAATGTTTCTCTTCTTATAGCTATCTGTCAAAAACGTTTGTCTCTGGTCAATGAGCTTCAAAAAACGTCAGTCCTGACACCCCGCTCCAGGATCAGGACGGTGGAAAGTTACTTTACTTTACACTCAGTTCTGCAGGTTTAAACAGTCCGAAAAAATCCCCCCTCTTCTCCTGCTTCTGAAGGGGGTTCAACAATTTTAAATGATGAAAGTTCATCTTTTACAAGCGATTTTCTGAGCTCTAGTTTGCGATGTCTTTGCTTTAATCTATCTACAAAGAAACGGAAGGCTGACTTCCTGTTTAGACCTTCCCGTTTCAGTGCCAAATTGAGGTAAACTTTTAAGTCCAATTTTCCTTTCTGCTCGCAAGTCCTTATTTAAAGTCCAATTGTCCGAAATTTAAGTACTCACGGGTGATTATTTTAGAAGCCAAATTGTCCCAGGAAAAAGGCAGCGCTCTCCGGCAACGGCTGTGCGGCTTCGCTCCACGGAAGAAGCAGTTGACTCTCAGCACCGCGCCACTTCCCCCTCTTCGCTCCAGAGCCCTTTAGTGGGTTCCTTTGCGGGTTGGGGAGGCGCTAAAGGTGCCCGCCGAGTCCCATGGTCACAGGCTTCATCCGCCTGTGATTTTTGAAAGGGTCCCCGCTTCGCCGTAGCGGGAAAGACCTGTTTTCCGTGGAGCTGGTCCCTCCAAATCAGAGGGAATCCGCCATTACCGATGGCGCCACCCCGGAAGTCCTCCATTCCACCATTCTTCTGGCAGGCAGATGCTATTAGATTTCCTGCAAGGCATCCATAAACTATGCAGATGATGAGCTAAGAGTTATTGGTGGAGATCATGTACAAAACTTCTCTCTCTATGAATGCTAGCGGAGATGACTGTCTGTGTTCAATGAAAACAGAGAACAGCAAATGCATTTTTGATTTCAGCTCATGCAGATCATTTTTCAAAGACAAAGTATTTCTGATGATGCCATACTGCAGGGTGATGGCACACAACAAATATGCATGTCAAATATCTGGAACGGCCACATAGCTGAGTGGCACTTTTTTTCAGTGGCACTAGCTCCTTTTGGAGGAAGGCTGACGTACCCATCCATGTATAGCTGAGGGAAAACCTTGGCACTGCCTCTCCAGGCAATCATGATGGCCGGAGGCCAAAGTCCCAAAGGTAGGCAGCAAGAGAAGCTTCAAACGGCTAAATATAGCGAGTCCGATAGGCCACAGCCTTTCATGACAAATTCTCACAGTGACATACAAGCAAGACGGAAACAGAAGAGGCCATCTCTGAATTGACAAGATAATTTAAACAGCTGTTGTGTGTAGTCAGCTTTCACAGTTTAGCTGACTCATATCTCTGCCAAAAAATAGAGCTTGGAAACTTCTCAGTTACATTGGCCATTAAGTCAGAAATAATTCAAGCTGACTCTGCTGACTGACTCGAGTGAAAAAAATCAGTTTATAAAGTGCATTTTCACAAAATTATTATTGCTGCTGCTGCTGCTGTTATTAAAGAGATTTCTAACCCACATTTCATTGATATCAGTATATCATATAATTGATGCATGACAGAAGAACTGGGAACAGTGTGTGAGATGAGGCACAAGGGAAAAGGCAGGGCAGTTACCTGGGCCACCAGGACTTCCTGATGTCTTGGTTGTGTATCCTCTTGCTCAATAAGCCAGCTTTTATTTTATATTTTATTCTATTTATAAGCGTATTTCTAAACCACCAACTCTCATATACACACATATATACCATGGCAGTGTAAAAGAAAAGGAAAAAAACCCTAAAACATCTTTAAAACATAAAATAATGAAATGGAGCAGACGGCCAACACTGTATCACATTAATTCTCTGAAAATGATTTTCAAAACAGAAACTTTTGGCACCTCTGTCTGTTCATGATTATGCAGGTCTAGATGTTTGGCTCCAGTCAGGGGTATTTATGGATGAACCAATTAAAGATGGATCCTGACTAAGGCGGGATTCACCCAGTCACTCAGATTAGCAGCCTTGAGGTATTCCTGGATCTCTGTCTTCAGTATGAGTACTTTTTGCCATCTGTATATATAGGAAGAAAGCTGCAACATTCCCAATGCAAAATTTAGCAACCTCACTGCCGGACTGCTGTGACATAGCTTATATTTATTTATTCCAATGTACAACTTAATGTAATAAACTTCTCAAAAAAATACAATTACAATAAAAATGCAAACATTAAAAAAAAAACCTTAAGCCATAATAATAATAATAATAATAAAAATTCAACTCTACATCACAAGTAAAAAGAAAACTGAGGAGTATACAAAACAAAAAAGTAAACATTTTAAAAATCCAAGTCTAGGAAAGTGTGGGTAAACTTTGGGGGGTTTTTTGAAGTCATTTAAACTGTCTCCACTTCACAAATGAAGAAGGGCATCTCAGAGCGGGAATGCTATTGCCAAGAAGGCGTGATACCACGCTGTCATCAAGTGACAATCCAGTAATTGTGGATGACCAGATGCTCATAATATTTTAAAGTCTGGCTTGGTCTGAATCAGGGAATGCAGGTTGCAAAGTATCTGGTGTTCAGAGTTTACAACATCTGCAGGACACCCATTGCCCCAGAGTTGAGAAGCTGTATGCCAGCCAGTCAGGGAGAAAGGAAAGCCACTTCAACAAGCGAGCAGAGTGACCCAGGGTTAAGATGAGGCTGTGAAGCCCTTTCCCTCCTTTCCTGTCACTGGCCCCTTGGATAGAGAAAGAGAGGAAGGTCTTCCAGACAGAAGAAACCCCAACTAAAGAATCATGGCAAGAAAAATTGATGGACTATGCAGAACTGGCAAAATTGACATATAAGCTACGGGACAAGGATAACTGTGACTTTAAGGATGAATGGGAATATTTACAAAGTATCTGAAGATGCAACAAAACGAACTAGACTCCTTGGCAGGTTTTGAATAAACATTCACAAATTTTTTACTGATAATAATCAGCTAAACAGTTTGAGGATCTATACAACTTTGTAACATGCAGAAAACAGCATTATTAGAGAAACCAAAGATTGGAACTGAGGGAAGTCGGGGGGTGGGGTCGGGGGGGTGGGTTCTGTGTGGGAGGGGGAGGGGAGGGAGGAAAAATGGGGGGGAAATAAGGATGATATGTTTTTGGACAATATGTCTTGTTATAATGTCGAATAAATTTTTTTTTTAAAAAAGAGAAAGAGAGGAAGGTGAGTTTTATTCAGAAGTGTCCACAGTTCAGCTTTGGCTGAGAAAGTGATCTCTTTTCCTTGAGCTTGTTTGGAGGTTCTAGCAGGGGAGCGCAGCTATCGTATACCCTTGACCGAAGAATGGTACACTCCTTCTATCTGGGATGGTCGTCCTCTTCCACCAAGCGCGCAGCTTCGGGAGGGACGCACATGGAGCGGTGAGGGAGGAAGGGGACACCCGCCTAGCCAGCCAGATCAGCCGAATCAACCCTGGCGATCAATGGGGTGACAGATGTCGCAGCCAGATCGCCCTCACAATGTTTCAAACATTGCAAATTGTGGACACAATGGACTGTTTCAAGAAGTGGCAGAGAGATATTTCTAGATTTGTCTGGCAGGGCAAGAAGCCTAGAATAAAATTTAAAATACTAACAGATGCAAAGGAAAGAGGTGGATTTGCCCTGCCAGACCTTAAACTTTACTATGAATCAGCAACTTTTTGCTGGTTGAAAGAATGGCTGCTTCTTGAAAATACAGACATTTTGGATTTAGAAGGTTTTAACAACGTATTTGGATGGCATGCATATCTGTGGTATGATAAGGTCAAAGCACATAAAGCATTCAAGAATCACATTGTCAGGAAAGCATTGTTTAATGTTTGGATAAGATACAAGGATTTATTGGAAAATAAAACTCCAAGGTGGCTGTCACCGATGGAAGCGAAAGCTCTGAAAAGGCTCAATATGGAGGCCAAATGGCCGAAATATTGGGAAATTTTGGAACAAGATGGAGATAGACTGAAATTACAGAGTTTTGAAAAATTAAAAAATAAAGTGCGAGACTGGCTTCATTATTATCAGATAATGGAGGCATATAATATGGACAAGAAAATTGGCTTCCAGGTGGAAAAATCAAAATTGGAAACAGAACTGTTAGAACCCAAAACTAAGAATCTGTCAAGAATGTATAACTTGCTGTTGAAATGGAATACTCAGGATGAAACGGTGAAATCTACTATGATTAAATGGGCACAAGATGTTGGACATAACATAATGATGGCTGACTGGGAACAGTTATGGACCACAGGTATGAAGTTTACGGCATGCAATGCCTTAAGAGAGAATATTATGAAAATGATATACAGGTGGTACATGACCCCAGTCAAGCTTGCAAAAATCTATCATTTGCCCGATAATAAATGTTGGAAATGTAAAGAAACTGAAGGTACATTCTTTCACCTTTGGTGGACGTGCCCAAGGATTAAGGCTTTCTGGGAGATGATCTACAATGAATTGAAAAAAGTATTTAAATATACCTTCTTGAAGAAACCAGAGGCCTTTCTCCTGGGCATAGTCGGCCAACTGGTGCCAAAGAAGGATAGAACTTTTTTTATGTATGCCACAACAGCAGCAAGAATACTCATTGCAAAGTATTGGAAGACACAAGATCTACCCACTCTGGAAGAATGGCAGATGAAAGTGATTGACTACATGGAACTGGCGGAAATGACTGGCAGAATCCGAGACCAGGGAGAAGAGTCGGTGGAAGAAGATTGGAAGAAATTTAAAGACTATCTACAGAAATATTGTAAAATTAATGAATGTTAGAATGATGTTGGATAGAAATTAAGTGGTTTTCAGCTGTAATATTTTAAGGGAATATGAAAAATGGATTATTTATAGGTAAAAATTTAACGTTACAATATTTTAAGATTAAAGACTAGGATAAACAAAGAGGGTAAGGATTTGCTGAACCAACAAACTGAACTGGAATACAAAAAAGGGAGGCGTGAGGAGGTCCGGGAAACAAGCTAATGAAAAATAAGTAATGGAAAGATTGTGCTGTTTTTAACCATTTTTATTTTGTATTTTTTTCTTTTGTATTTTTCTTTTGTAATATTTTGAAAATCTTAATAAATATCTTATAAAAAAAGAAAGAAAGAAAGTGATCTCTTTTCTCTCCTTCTTAAAAACGGATCTTTGGACTCTGCCTTGTTCAGGTCAGTATCACTTTTGTTGTGGCTCCCTGTAATGCTATTGTTGGCTACGTACATTGCGTACATTGCACCGGGACTGAACTCCCTGACTCACAACACAGCACAACAACGCAGGTCCTTTACAACAGCTCATTTGTATTTAAATTAGCATAACTAAGCTAGGTCTGAGCAGCAAAACAATTCAGAAGTCAGATCTTGCAACTGCCACCATGCAAGTCTTTAGTTCTAAACCACTAGGGGTTAGAAAAGTTTCTAAACACATTTCAACTTCATTTCTTTAGCACCTAGCAAAGCCTGGGACTCCACTATTCAGCTCCAAAGCACTACTTATGTTTTAGATTTTTTGATGCTTTTAACTTCCATGATGAACATGGTTTAACTGGGAAGATTGAAATACTGTTACAAGCCACACCAATCGTTGTGACTGATGTGAGATTCAGTGGGTCTTGGCCCTTATCCAGGGTTTGTGTTCCTCTGCAATGAGGCGCAGGGGAGACTAGTGTCTTTATGAAATATAGTTTATTCACACATATTTACACCTGAATTTTTATGGCGAAAGAGTTAACAGCATTTACATCTCAAGAGGGGTTTGTCTTTCCCAGCAGCTCTTTGACTGAGAGGATGCAAAACTGTCACAGAATGGAAAAGGGCTCATCCATCCATTCTTAGCCACAAGTGCTTTTTCTCAGAGCACAATGATTCCAACTCCAGGTACCAACTCATCGCTTAGAAGCAAAAATCCACAACGTCTATTATAAAAAGGGCCATTTGTCTTAGCTATAGTTTTCGTACAGCTCTAGTGATTTACCATAGTGTTTCTTCTGTCTTTTATAAGCTTTATGCAATGAAATTAATGCAATCGGTTCAGGGTTTTCGCTTCCCCTCACCCCCTGTAACACTGCTGTGACTTTAAAAGCTGCACAACAGGCAGGTTTGGCTTGCCCATCAATACACCTACATGTGGGAAGAGGCTACCCGACAGGGAACTCTGAAAGCCAAAGATATCTTGCCAAGAAAACCTAGCAACCTTAGATGTGTCCTAAAAGAGGGGGCACAGCACTTAATGTTTAGGTTAGAGGTGGGGCTAATGTATAAACTTGATGTTCAAATTCTGGGACTAATCTGTGGCATTATGATCAAATCATCTGCTTGCAGAGTTCATAGCTGGAGATACGATTCTTATCTAGTTCTGTATCCATGTCTCCAAAATGAGTGTGCCTCTAGAACAACTAAGTGATAAGGAAACATTGGACAAGAGCCAAGCTGCTGTAGTGCAGTAGATAAGAGACTGTGGGCACCAGGAGGCAGGCTGTGGGAGATCTGCATTTTTACAAGATAAAAGCAGCTGGGGGTGGGTCTAAGGCTGAGTCTATAGAACTGGACAAAGGAGTTTAACCCTTTCCCTTCCTAGCTTTCCCCCAATCTATGTCAGTCCCTTGACACAGAGATACATCTGTTTTCCTCTGTGGGACAAATAGCAGTTCTGTGGGGGTTTTGGTGAGGTGAAATCAGAATGATAGCAAGTAAGAAAGCAGTTAACACCCCCACATAAAGAAAGTTGCAGTTCTGATCTCATTTGTGCACCTCACAACTGCCTTTTTTAAAAAAAAAGTGAACCCCACACAATATATCACACTTCATTTGCATACACAACATATTTACTCATTAGTGTGCAACAGAAAACCCCAATACACATGGAGAGAGATGCTATATCAAGACGTCACCACAGGAATTCCCACAAGTGAGAATAGACTCACTGTACTACCAGGCCAGGAATTCAGAAACTTCAAAAATGCAAGAGAGTAACTAGGAAACTACCTCAGAGAGAGAACCACTTCCATCCCTTAGGAATGTATTACTAATCTTGAAAAGTCAAATGTATTATTATGAATGTATTCTTGAAAAGTCAAGACACTGATAAACTGAAAGAGAGTGTGACAAAGGCTCACTTTCAACAGTCATGGTGAAAGCAGCTTGTGAGATGTATTTGCAGACTTGTATGGCTGCTATGAAGGACAGCAAGGCTCTCAAGACAGGCTAGAGTGGGTTCAGGGCCCAGGCCTATCCAGGGGACAGGGAGGCATACAATGGGGAAGGGACTTCCTGATTCATTATGAAGCATGTGGAGCTCTTTATTTGTTTCTCTCTAAATTCAAGCAATGGAGGAGGCCTGTCTGATTTACTTCCAGATGAAGAACTCAAACTCTCCATTCTGATTCCCATGGAAGACTTTAATGCACGCAACAGATCAGTACACAGGCAAGGCAGTGATTACAAGGTTTAGCAGGTGCAAGAAAAGCATAGTTGCTTGGCTCAGAATTATTAATACATTGATCCAACATGCCTCCTGTATCTTCTTTTCAAAGTGGGGCAGGCACAGCTCTCAGTGCAGCAAGCAGCTGGAGCCCAGGGACTGGGCATTCCTTCAAGTGGGTTGGGCCTGTGGAGTTGGTTCACACTGGTGTTTCTGTGTCCATGAACACAGGAGTGGAATCGGCGCGGATTTAGTCTCACTCCACTAGGCTCCCCAGAAGAGAGGCTCCACAACAAGTATCTAACCAGAAGGAGTCAAAATCATAGAGGTAGAACATTTCTCTGTCACTTGGTCCCGCTCCTGCATCCATCTCCTTACTCTCTGGATCACTGGCCCCCTCATCAGGTTCTGACATTTCTTGGGGGGCAGTTTTTGCCGCCCCAACCTACTGAGTCCCTTCACAGCATCATCAAACTCCAACTTTCTGAGCTCTTCCCATTCTTCCCCATTTCCTCCACGACATCGCCTTGTGATTTTGTGACAAGCACTTAACTATCTCATGTTAATAATAATAATAATAATAATACCTTTATTGTCAATGTACAATCTGCATACCATGAAATTAACCGAGCCTCCCTCCCCCACACACAAACACTCAATCTCAAGTTGAAATCAAAGTATTTTTCTGAGGTTGGATTGGGCACTTTGTCAGAAGGAAAAGCCATATTTAATGTTTACTATTACTACTATTATTATTATTATTATTACTGTTATTACTATTATTATTTCATACTGTAATTGCATCCCCGGAACCATAAAGCTACAATAAAAACAGGGTGCCGTGTATTCCTATAATAACACTTCATGCATAGATGACTGGGACTGTTCTCCACAAAAATTTATGCCACAATGAAATGTAATCATATTTAAAGGTGCCATATGACTCTGTTGGCTTTCCCCACCCCCACCCCCGCTCCTGTGGGGTAGCTTTATTAATCTGTTGCAGTAAAAACAAATGATCCCTTAATTCTCAGACCAAACAATGAGAAATTGCCCTCAATCATGAAATAACGG